CTGAAATCTTTGTTCGGGAAGATCAAGTACGGCACGCTGATTTGGTGGTAAGAGTTCCAGAAGGCTCCTGTTTAAATGAAGGTTCCATTCCGGCGATACAGGTTCTCCGTCTTCTCCAGGAGTTAATTCCCACGAAGACCGTTCTTCCGAAGTTTCTTTACCAAATGGCAAGCGAACAATGTAGGACAGTCACTCGTCAGTTCCAGATATGTTTCACAAGTGCTCCCTGCCTAAGGACTGGAAGCAGGCTATCATCTATCATATTTTTAAAAGGGCGGCAAGTCTTCCCTTGGTTGGTTTGATAAGCTTACGGACAGGCTACTGGATCAGTTGATCAGCGATATGCTTGAAAATCATTTACTCGGCTCACAACAACACAGGTTTCACAAAGGTCACTTCCGCAAGGTAAACTTCCCATTTGCATGCTAATGTTGGGCAGATGCCTTGGATTCGGGTAATACAGTGAGGTGCCATTATTGACTTATCTAAGCGTTCCACATCATGCCGCATTCTCGTCTGTCCTCTAAGCTCTGGTCCTATGGTAAATCAGAGCGTGCTCTTAGATCTAAGCAAGAGAGATGTGCGTTCGAGTGGGGTCTAGTCCATTTTACTGACGATTAGTGCTTAGTGGGATACCGTAGAGGTCGTTGCTTGGCCAAGTGTCGTTTTCGTTGCATGTAAATGAGCTGCCCGAACAGCTGGGGGTACCGTCTCTCATTCTTGCAGATGGCTTGAAGTTTTGTTACCTAGTGTCTAACTCCGATGTTCCCAGATCTTGCAACGGGTTGTTGGCAAACTTTGGGACTGGGCTGCTATTTGATAGATGCCTATAAGTCACACCAAGTGGTCAGTTTTACGTTCAGGGCCAAATGGCCCCCGAACGCGTTGTCTGCATGGCGGGAATGAGCTATAGCATATTTCCCAACTGAGAGACCTATAGGTCATGTTGTCACCAGAGTTCAAGTCCAGTGAATACTGGAGAAAGTAATGTGCTGATGGTTCAGAATTCCGTGGATGATCCGAATGCCATTCGGAAACATCATGGGAGATACGGTATATTACCGAATATAAGCCGAAAATTTTGGACAATTTTCTATATTGAGGGGGTCGGCTTATAAAAAGGCTATACGGAATTTGAAAGTAGTCACAGGCAAAACCCACCCAGGAATTCACTGTCAATCACTGCCTTTATTCCTCAGAAGCACCCGCTAGTTACGTACGGTATTCCAGACGGGGATATGAAGTGCTTATAACTGTACACGTTACTTTGGTATCGAAAATCGGCACATTGCAGTAGCGAATCAAAAGCCCCTAGACATTATGTTGTGCCAAGCTATCCGGTGCCTTAAAACTGTTAGGTCGTCCCACACTGACCATGTACTTCGCTCTCAACAGCTGCTGTACTGTGGTTCATATGCATATCATCTCACCTTACCCTATACTGTCGGCTCTTACCTGTTTCACGTGACGACGTCTGGTCAAATCGCCGTCCGGTGAGGTGAAAGTCTGTTCTGACCACCCTACGCCCCATTAACCGAGATCATAACGTTACGGTGAACACAATTGACCAATAGTAGAGTAGGTTTCAGTGGAACTCATTCAAATGTGATCAAGTATTGATGATGTCAAAATCGTGGAAACTATTTCGTTGCTATTCTGCTGATACTTTAGGCGTCGGCTAATACAGGAACTTGCGACTTTGGGCAAATTTTATTTTGCAAAGTTATACTGTCGGCCTATCTATGGATGGGTTTATATTCGGTAATATACGGTATGGTTGTCAGTTATTCTGCCTTCGTTAGGCCGCACTTAGCATAATGCATTCGGGATTGTCTACTTTGCTTAGTCAGGGACAGGATATTAGTAATGCTGAGGGTAGCAATCAAAATGGTTCATGGGCTACGGAACCTATGGTACTAAGAAGGATACGTAAGCTAGAAATGTGTTCATTACATTATTATTGCTGTCACGGAAATGCAATCCTGACCAACCACCTACTGGCCGGAAGATGTGTGCTGGGTTTATCGGCTTTTCAACTAACGGCTGACATCTTTCCGGGAAAACTCGATGAAATTACACACTCCACAATGTGATAGTCTGGACGGACTTTCATTTAGCACGCTGGAGAGTAGATTACTGAGCCGCACTGTCCGAGGACTTTTTGTTGTCAGCAACCAAAAAGAGTTTAAACATAGAGTAGACACCGTTGGCATTCAGTTCTAAACATTTTCCTTCATGCCTTAGATTATTTTCATGTATTCAGTTGTTACATTACTACGTTGCCTTTGCTTCTTAACGCGTTGTAGTACTATTGCATCATCGTTTCGTATTCCCTGTGACCATTGCAGCCGGGACTGTCAGTGCTGATCACGTAAGCATCACTTGTTTGACCGTAACGTATCTCGCGAGCTGCTTTTACTTTTCTAGATTGCAATTATCACTAACGAATAATATCTTGCCTCAAAGACGCGCTGCGGAAGGAACATCCACAGGAATATACCCTGCTGTTTGAATCCCCTCTAGGACTTGCACTAGTCGAGGAAAATTTTTAATCTACTTCCCGGTGAAATCTATGGGTAATCATCATCGAAGCAAGGCGTGATCACAGTCTACGCGCGTGTTCCAGAATGGGTAGCAGTCCAGCATGAAACCGCACTATCTAGTTGAGTCCATCTCTGGCCAGCTATCGGAAGACATGAAGTAGTAGATCGGTGCCCACTTAACATGAAGGCCGTGCTGTCAAGACAGCCGATTCTCGGTGCACATGCGCAGCAAATGATCGTTGTTATCTGTACGCTCAGAGTAGACATCAAACTAACCATTTAACAGACCTTCTGAAGAGCTCAGACAACCTACTTTCGCATTCACATTCTCATTAAACAGAACGATATCCGGGCTGACAGTCTTTTAAAGCAACATGTTGGGTTCGTGAGAAAAGCATCCTTGATGGCTTCAGGGCTGTAGCCGGTGGCTGCACAAGCAGCCATAACAAATGGACAATGTTTAGTGCTGCTTCGTGACCTAACCTTGGTTGATCCAATTCCTTACCGCTGTGCTAAGCGTTGCTCACGTATCTTAATGGCATGGTGATCAAAGCGTCAGCCGTTAACCACTAGACCCCGCTTTTCACCCCAACTCAGTCTATGTTTATATCATCAGTCCAAACCAGGACGAAACCAATCATGGGATGTTAGCGTTAGGAGCAGCAACACCGAAAATCCTTGCTGCATACAGACGGCTGCTTACGGGAATGCAATCAAAGTACAGGGATTCATCCCTGGACAACACCACAACTTGATCTGCGGTTGCGGTATCAGCGTCCCCGGATGCATATAACCAATAGCGAGAGGATAATTCGGGCGAAGTGGGTTCAACAACCGCGTAACGGTTATTGTTCCCGGTTTCGGGCGCGCGACACATTTAGGCAATCAATGAGCCAAGGTGCGTGAAATAACCGCCTTTTCAGCGAGTGTCTGACGCCGCGAGTGAAACGGTGCAGCGTGGACTGATTACAGGCTGTTTGCTATATGAGTCCATAGAGTGTTGTTAGAAAATACTTGTCCATGACGGAGTAATTGTACTGTAATTGCCATTAATTAACCCGGGCATTTTAGAATGAATTTTAGAAATGGGAATAGGGAGAAGAGTAGGGGAAACGGGCGAAATAGAAACAAATAAAGCATCAGTATTATCAGGTTTTCATGTATCCCTCATGCTGTACGCAATAACTAAGGTGAAGATTTTAAGGCTGCCGGCGAACGATGCAGGATGTGGTTGAATTTTGAGGAAATAGCCATGGTTATGCGTGCGCTGGGGTTCTGCCTAGACCTAGACAGGAGGAAGAGTAGATTCTTCAACCAAAGTGTCTGGCTCAACAACCTTACCACAAACAACGGGGAGATGGCAACGATTCGGTTTTACAGAAATGGACGTTATGCCATTTCCAGCCCCCAACGTGGGGGAGGAGACTGGATTCGTCTGACCTCTAACCTTCAGGAGTAGGAGTAGCTTTCAAGGGCCCGAGGGCTCACTAGATCGAAGAGGTACGCAAACTGTCGCACTACGTCAAGGTTCTGTGTAGTCACAACAGCTTGATCATAAAAGAGTAGAAAAAGCGGAAGTGAACAATACAAATGGTACAAATGCTGCCCGTCACAACTATGACCGATTGAGCAAGTACCTTCCACACGGAATGTGTGTTGGTCTGATTCGACTGCTTGCGAAGTGTGAGTTTACTCAGGTGGGGATCATAAACGGTCTGCATTCTACTGCGAGGCAGTAGTTGTCCTGCTCATGCCATTACAAAATGTGATAACCGAATGCAGCAAAACGCATACCCCTCGTCCTTCGAAGTGCCACAAACTACGGATGTCAGGAGAGCAGGTAGCTTAGCACCTAGCGACTGAACCTTGTTTAAATCGGTTACTACTTACAAGAAATTAGTAAAGAGATACAGCCAATCGAATACTTACTGTTGTAAGCTTAGCGTAAGAGTGATTGTGGTAATCTGATTCCAAAGCCGTAAGCAGGACGTCTGTAAGTCGGGTTTTCATTACATCGATCAGGCAATCGCACAACCAGGAGCAAGGCGAGTTACAGCATCCAATCATTCGGAAGTTGTTCGATCCCAAATACTGATCCCTTTCTCTGAGTAAGCCCAGCTGCAAACGTGTAAACGTTGGCTTTAAAAAATCTACCTCGCTGTTCCCATGGATAAGACTATAACGGTTTATTCAACTAAATTCTGGGCCATTCCTACGTAGAACAGAGCACTTGGACTATGTCGACTTAAATTGGTGCGCACACAGGTCAGTCTGTCATTAATTTTTCATATTTGGCAATCAGCGAAAAACCGTTACCGTCAGTATTATGTTCATTCAATTGAAATCACAGTAGGCCATTCATGCTAAGCCGACGATAAACGTGCTGATATAGTAAACATAATACCCTCTTTCCAAATACAATGCTTCTTAATACTAAAAGTTAGTGAAGTGACTTACCTTAATTTTTCTATTGCAACCCGAATATCACACCAAGAGATGGTGGTTGTATCTGATGGGCTGAAACCGTCCACGCTGGTTTCCCTAACTCGGTGTGCAGATGCGATACGTAAAATCCTGTTGGTAGACGAGTAAGCGAATAAGAGGCGCCTCAGAGCGGACAGCGGGTTTGGCGTAGGAAGCGATGCTGATGATTCTGTCGAGTGTTGAGGTGAAGGCGCATCTGATAACGATGGAATAGGTATGGTTTCTCTGACTATGTGCGTGCGTGTCTCAGTGTTTGTGTGGGTGTACGGATCCACGATCGGTTTCACTCATACAGGCGCAACTTACACTTACCGGTGGACGGTATTTGGACTGTGCGCCCCGCGAAAGAGTGGGCGTAACTTCACGCGCATGCATGCGGAAGTGCACTGCTAGTGCATGCGGACGCAGCGTTTGGACAAGCACCAATCAGGCGATCGGAGTGACGCTTGAAGCCTAAACCAGTAGCAATGTCGGAGGTGAGTAGGGAGAGAAGAAACGCCACACGGAGGGTACACTCGTGGGGAAATGCCTGACAGGTTGAAACCAGTAAATGCCCAGTGCTGTGCTGTCGGCCCACCTGAATTAGCCAAGTGGGTGAAGGTCAATACTTCGTGAACTACAGCCGCGGCGGAAGGTTTGCATTGGGCACGTTGGTTCAAATTAAGCAAGTGGGTGGTATTTCCTCTCAGAGTCAGCCTAAACATCAGTAATCTGAGTAAGACAGACCTATACTATATCGTTCTCCTTCAGTAGAGTATGGTGTGAAAACTACGAAAAATGCTACCGTTATTTTGGTGAAGGTTTCGGACATCCGAGCTAATTTGTACCACCTGTGCGCTTTCAAATCTCCCCAATGTGCAATTTAACGCGATTACTTACATCAGTTAGACAGATGTTCAGAAAACATTTAGCCAGGAGAAAGTGGGGAGAAGTTGATACAAATAGCAAGCATGCCAGAAAATCGATGGGTGAAACTTTCCTTGAATGTCGACATGGTTCTGGGCCGAAGGGTTTATTTGGAAACATCACGTTGCTTATTCATTGTTGCTGTGATGTGAGAATTTGGGTCCCCTCTGCGAAGGTAAAACCAAAAGTTGGTAATAGTCCGAGTAGAAAATAATCGAGACTCCTATAGTTATCGAAAACCAGCAAATACACATATTTGTCACCGACTGCAGGAAGTTGCAGCATGTTCAAGTGATTCTCTTATCGGGATCGATGTGTTATTACGCGCAAGCAGCAGGTCTATCAGCAATTGGACAGAGAAAATAGCGCAACAATCGAAAATAATCTTAACTTCTGCTAGTTGACTTGCACTGTTTGGTAATCGGTATGGTGTAATGGTCAAGAAGCGCTCAAAAGAATTGCTCAGTGTGAATACCCATCGAGACGTGCACCGTTACAATCGGTTGCCTTCCGAAGTAAAATGTGTTCCAGCGATATTTCAACAAGTGATGGACGCTATGCTATCCGGATTACAGTGTGTCGTGAGTTATTTGGATGAGATAATAGTTGTAAGCTTTACCACTGTAGATCATTACACCCACCTGAACCAATTATTCTCCAGGATAGACTCATATGGATTTCGTGTACGTCCAGAGAAGTGCGAGCTCATGGTTCCCAGTATCATACTGGCTCTTTATCGACAGTTCTGATCGTCGACCAGAGCCGAATAAAATAAAAGCCATCAAGTTAATGCCACACCCCACGAACAAAGCTACTTAGCTGTCTTTCTTGGGTCTAATAAACTATTATGACAACTTTGTCCCTCAGATGCACGAACTCCGGGCCCAACTAAATGCAATTTCGGCGAACGAGTCATTGTGGCCTTGGTCATTGTGATGCCAGAAAATCTTTGATGAGATTAAACAAATCTTTTTCTCCGATCTTTTAACTCATTACTGCCCAGTAATACCAGTAATCGTCACTGCTGATGCATCGCAAAACAGTATCGGTGATGTCTGGCTGCATCAATTCCCAACTGGACATCAAATTGCTGTGGTGCATGTTTCCCGCGCTTTGACAGCAGCAGAAAGAACTACAGTCAAATAGAGAAAGATGGACTGACTCTCGATTTTGCTGTTAAGCAATTTCCTAAGATGATATATAGAGGGAAATTTACTTTGTACACAGACCATAAACCTTTGCTATCTAATTTTAGCATCAAACGCGAATCCCCGTTCACACGGCGGACAGATTACAGCGTTCGACAATCACTCTATTAGCATAGGATTACCATTTGCGTTTTAAAAATATGTCTTCACTTGGTCATGCTGATGCATTATCTAGACTGATTGCCGACTGCATGTCTAAAACACCGAGGAAGACATCGTTGTGTGCGGCATTAGCTTAGATCCCGAGATTAGACAAGTATTTCAAACATCTGTACGTCAACTTCCAGTAACAACAGACGCAGTCAGACTAGAAGCAACGGAAGATCCCCTGTTACAACATATTATGAGGTAACTTAGTACTGGATGGCCTGCACGCCCCTTGGACAACTATGGTGAGCAGTTTCGTAAAAGGAAATTCACCTTAACCACCATTGATGGTTGCTTGATGTTAGCTGACCGAGTTGTGATTCCTAAGATTTTACAGAAGAAAGTTCTCAGTCAGTTTCGCAAAGGTTACCCGGGAACCAGTCGTAGGAACTCCAAAAGCCGCAGCTATGCCTACTGACCATTCATGGACCCGGATATTGAAACTGTTGTTCGTTCCTGTAACGGCTGTGCTATGGCAGCAAAACTGCCTGTCATATGTGAGCTTCATTCTTGGCGAACTCCAGGTGGATCATGGTCTCGCTTTCATATTGATTTTGCCGGACCCTTGGAGGTCTTCCACTATATGGTAATAGCTTACACAAATTGGCCCGAAATTTTTCGTTAGAGATACGTAACCAATTTCGCTGTTTTGTTACACCTACGCCATCTTATCTCAGAATTCGGTGTCCCCGAAACGATTGGTACGGGCAATAGTTCCCAATTCACTTCTCAAGAATTTGCTGACATTCGCAACCCACACGACATTGGACACATACACACTCCAGCGTGCTATCCACAGTCAAACGGACTGGCTGAATGTTTCGTCGATATGTTTAAGCGAGCATTGGTTACAATGGAGGAAGAAAGGAATATTCAGGAAATCATCGATAACTTTTTGCAGATTTATCGTAGGAGGCCAGGTCCAGCAGTACCCCGAACGTATCTCCATCCAATGCGTTTCTCTGTAGGCGTGTCATAACTGTCCTTGATGTTTTGAAGCCATCGCTACACAAGGGAGAGCGTAATGTTCAAATGGAGTTGGCTTTTAATCGCCATTATGGAACACGCCCCCGTCATTTCCTGCCTGGTGATAGGGCGTACGTAAATAATTTTCGTGATGGAAGATCATCCTGGATTCCTGGCCGTGTAGTTGAACGGATTCCAAGTGTTTTGTACAGAATACAAGGGGATTCCATCATTTGGAATTGATATGTAAACCATATTAGACCTCATTTTGAAGTGCATGGGACGCCACAAAAACAGGAGGCTTCACTACCGTTGGACATTTTGCTGGATACGTATCAAATTACCCCGTCAGAAGAGTCCGCCGTCCAAGCAAAAAACGTAACAGCAGATCGAAGGTACTCAACGCGTAACAGAGCCCCAGTGCAGAGACACGAGGTTAACCCAAGACGTAAAGCAGATGCATCGAACGTGGCGTGCTATTCATTTCAGTTTAAAGGAGGGAGGTGTTAGGCGGACTGGCGCAGGATAGTAGTTCCCAGTTAGATGGTTGACATTCGTGGCCACACCCTGTCACGTGATTGTTTGCGGCTGATTCACGCATGTCAGTAGTTCGCAGTTGGACAAACTTCCATGTCTTTTCCCATGGTTGGCTGATTGATCTGTTGATCTTTGTTTATTCCGGTCGCTCAGCTTCGTCAGTTTTTCAATACAACTCTTCCAGCGCGATTATGTTCTTGCTTCCCGTTCGGAGTGGGTTCTGTTACAGTCAGACGTTATAATATACCTTTCGATGTACTCATATACGTTTTGCCAAAAAATTTGAACTTTTCGTAAATTAAGCCATCAACCTGGTCCGGCCCACACACCTTGCACATGCAGTCAGTCTCCACTATGTTGTTTTCCACACCGTTTTAACACCTTTGTCGACACTACAAGCACGTTATTTACACTAATTGAACACTGGTCAAGTCAAGTATAGACATACTTCACAACATGTGGACAACGCCAGACGAAATGGATGAAACCACTAAGGCGTACTATACAGTTTTCCACATGTAGTCTTGGCACTTGGTCCAACCTGTTCCCAAGATGCCTCTAAACTAATCACGGCAACCGATACATCATTCGATTTTGCTACTTTGTAGCCAGTTTCGCGATTTCGGATGCGCAATGCACAAATGGTATTGAAGAGCACGTGGACTTCCCTCACAAGCTGTAGAGAAGAAAGAGCTAAGTGTTCTACGTTTGGAGCCTGGATTTAAAAATATCAAAATAAAATCAGCTTCTGAGTTGTTTCCCTTGTATTTGTTCTCACTATCTGGTGTCTGCATGTATGAAAAATTCAAGCCGAGGCGGCACGGAAGAACATCGGGTTCGGATATGCATTATCACTGACCAGCAGCATCTTTATCTCTGGATGATCAGGCCCCGATGGAAACCATTGTGCCAGGGCTTATCCATTCTGTTTACCCACAAGCAACCGAAATAAGCTGCTAAAAATTTGCTATGAGATGCATAGGCGGCGATGAATACGGCCTGTTACCCTACTGAGATAGTGCAAACTTTCTTCTCTAGTGTTAACTTTGCCAGACAGTCAGATACAACATGCATATTTGCTCCAGAGGTCAAGTTTGGCAGACCTTGTTGCCCTAAGTAAGGATGGGGAATTGAATAACGATTATTCAGCTTCCGAAGTCATAGTACTCTTTACAGGTTTATGCCGCGACTTGACGAAACCATCTGTTACTTGGTCATCTGTAAGCAGTACAAATGAACACCTTGCTTTGTCGCAACCAGCATTCTCCAAGCAAACATCCGAACTTCTTTACTTTTCAATCTGGTTCAGGATTGTTTGGATGTTAACAACTCAAAGACCGTCGGTATGTGTATTCCGTGTTCATTTAAGCGCACACGACAGCATTTCGTGAAACAGTCTCTCATTCGATTACGAAGTAGACTGTGCTCAAACACAAACTTGGTTTGGTCGGGTGACCGATCACTGGTTGTGCATTCACGTTGGGGTCTGAATCGGTTCTTCCGTGCTCCGGAGGCATTTCAAGCGCAGAATACCTGAGGTGTCCAAGCCTTCCAAGCTGCTAGTTGGCGGCTACACACACTTATTGTGGGCACATGTGCCGGAAACCTGTGCTGCAGCGTAGACTTTCTTGCTGACAAATCTGTTGGAATAGTTACTATAATAAAATTTGGCCCTCACGAAAGCAAAGTTACGTATACATAGTTGCGACCTCCTTAACTAGGTAATCAAGGTAGTGGCACTCACCCTACCGTCAGTAGAAACAGATGGGATCCTGATTTTGGTACGCGAAATGGTTAAAAGCTTGATGACTCAGCACTGGTCCCAGTTAAAGTGTTGAAAATCACTTAGCAATCCAGATACATGGATCGTATCGGACTTTCTGCCTTAAGGTAACACCCAAATCAGTTTCAGTAAATTCATAAACCGCTATTTTGACACC